GAGGTCTTCCCTGGGGAGGGTTTGACATGGGAAATGATCATGGAGGCTTCAGGGCAAGCTTCTGATCCCAAGAGGGCCACTCGAGCAACTTCTTCTGCTGGTACTTCACGGAGGGAGATATAGAAAGAGGAGGCAGATTCAGAAGAATCTCTAGAAGAAGAGGAATAAGTTGAAGAGAGTGATGATTCTGATGATGACGGTCTAAATTCTGATGCAGATGAAAGCAATGAAGATGATGATTCTGATTCTTATTGATGTCTTGATTGTCTTTTCTCTTCTTTTGAAGTAACTTTAATACTTTATTGCACCATCTTGGTTTGGGCTTTAGACATTTGGAGTTTGAACGATTTTTGTTTAGTTATGTGGTTTGTAATTTTTTGCCTTTTTGGACTATTTCGTTGTGTGGTTTATTGGTTTTTTTTATAGTTTTGGAAGTCAGTTTGTTGATGACTTGGAGAGTTGGAGACTTGGATGTTATTATGGTTTATTTTATGGATATGGAATATAGAGAATATGAGAGTTGGAGACCTTACAATAGCCTATTAGACTTTTAAATGTTTTGTATGGTTCAAAATTTGGAATAAATTACAAATTTTGACACAAATATATGCATATATGTGCATTTGGATAGCAAATATATAAAAAAAAACTAAGAATTTGCACCGCAGGGCGCTCGAGGTTACGAGCGCCCGCCTAGGCACTGGGCAGACGCCTAGCGTTTTTTGAAACCTTGGGGACTCATGAGCATTTTTATCTTTCTACAATGTGTTATTGGTGTACAGGTTATTATCGTTTCAGACCTCTCCTATTGAGGGAAACATCATTTTATAATGTCATCATAAGCTTAGTCTAGGTTTTCTGAATGCTGAACTTCCTAATGGGCCATCATTATAAATATTCATCGTACTTCTTTGACGTCTCTTGTTTCTGAAATCTCATTTTTCAATCTTCTTTCCTGTTGAGCCTTTTCTATTACCTTCCCAATAACTCTTAGAAGCTTGATGAACAGTATACTCGCTTTTAAGACATCCAGATCATTCTTATAAAGAACTTTAGTCAAGATACTAGCTATCTGATTTTGGATTGAATAAAAATACTACGGACATCACCCATTAGATGATTGCATTGGAAACCATTCTTAGGAAGATTGAAACTGAATGTTGAGAACCATGCACAATGAACCTTTTTGAGACCATATATGCTTTTAGGCAGACATCACATACAATTGGGATGAAGAGGTATAGAGGATATTGTAATGGTGGCTTTCCTAAATAATCCTCTTAGAGTTTAGTCTATAAGAAGGATTTTTTGACATCATGTGTCTTATCTCCCAATCTGTGACAGGATCTATCATGCCACCAAAATCAAGTGTATGTAGCAGCAGTTTATATCCTCTTCTACTATGTGTGACTTATATCTCTTGATTTTTTTTCCATGGAAATAATATTTAATTTGGTAGACCCGATTACCTTCATTACCAGGTTAGTAACAACTAATGTACATGTTTTTCTGGTTAGTGTCAAGTTCAACTTGTGTGACTGGTTCAAAAAGGGTCTAGGGCAGCGAAAAATGTGGCTTAATCGATATATGTAATAGATTCAGAAGTCCTGATGTGATGCAAATAATGATGTTGTTGAAGCCTAATATCAATTAGATGCAGAGTGTATAAACCATTTGTGAGACACTAAGACTTGCTCTTATGTGTTGGTGGGTCCATGTGTAATTATGGAAAAAGAGGAAATGGAGTACCAACACTGTTTTTTTTTTTTGAGTGAAGTTAACGAGAGGACCAACACTGTTAAATTGGCAATGGTTTCAAGGAAAAGAGATTCACAAAAAATGGAATAACAGATAAATTTCAGGATACACCGATCAGAATCGAGACTGGCCGGTTCATAGATTAGCGAATTAGATGCCAATTCTTTGCTAGTTCATAGAGTGGCCAGTTTATAGATTAGCGAATTAAATGGCAGTCCATAGATTGGCCAATTCTTCAGAAATTGATTCTAACTGGTTCTCTAAATTTTTTGCTTTATGTGTGAAAAGGAGTATTTTATTTGGACCAGTTCCAGTGACCCAGTTCTTATAACATTGGTGATAACACCTATGATGTTTGGTGTCACCAGAAAAAAGATGTCACTGCATTAGTCTTCACCATTTGTGATGTTTTTAGATGACGGCACCCTGACGTTTTTAGATGACGGCACCCAAAATGCTAGTTCCAAATGACAAAATCTACATTTGATGGAATGACTAGAGGAATGGGAGCCTCTAACACAATCATTTTGTCAAACGATAAAACGACTGAATGATAACTTTGCCAACTTATTTTGAAGTCCTTGACCACAAGATTCCATGGAGTAATTTTTGACATACATTAACAGTAGGAATGGAGGGTGGGATGTTAATGTAAAATTCTATGGAGAAATTGAAGTGCATTTAAAGCAACCAGTGAACTAGACAACTAACGGTAAGTTCTTCTCGATATCAGGCAGATGCATAAGTTATATTAAGTTGTTATATGAAGGACAAACACACACACATACATTGCCAATATAAATATACAATAATTGGATTGGAGCAACACAGATGAGAAGGACAGACTTGGGTTTCAGTTTGTTGAACCAGTAAAGCATAGTCAACACGTAACTTAACCCATTATAACAATTTAGTTCAATATGATTTCACTTGCATACTTGGAAAATCACCTTGGTACTAGTTCAAGAGATTGGGCTTGCACCAAGAGGACCATCATGAGAAGATTGAGAATAACCAGCCCTTTGCTGAAGAAACAGTGTATTGTAAACCACTAACATAACTGCAACCAGAAACCAATTATGAACGACATATACATCCATGATCTATACCATGGTAAAAATATTCTATTATTGGGATGATCAACGAATCCAAAGGTGAATTGTGGAAGAATCATTCTTGATTAAACTCTAAGGATTACAGTTCAAGTTATGGAGGGCACTTGTGATTTAGCACATCTGCTTGTAACAGATTTCTAGATGGGATAATTTCTCAAGGAAAGCTAATGCCAATATTACAGAGTTCATTGGGTTTGACAACTTAGTGCCACAGGTGTTTCTGTATTGGATCCCAGAGCTCGACAATGAATTCAGACTTAGTTAAAACGTTAAGAAATTACATGGAGGAATCAAAGCTACAACACTTGTTAATATCAGGGTAACTATTTTTTCTGGTTTCTTTCTTTTAGGTTAACAACCCATCATATTTTCTCCTCCATTTCCTCTTTTATTACGACCCCATTTAGTGCTTCAACACATATGAAACAAATGCACACTTTTGCATCAGACCTTTTCATACTTTCAGTTGCACCCAAAGCATAACACATAGCATGAAAATGCTTATTTCTTACATAAACTTAAATATGCTTTCACATTAAACCCATCCATTAATTTCAGTCTCACCCCATTCTACAAATTATAAAAAACCAAAGTTTATAAAATACTCTTCTAATTGTACGGATTTCTACATACTTTTGCATCAAACCTTGGCTTCAATCTCACCTTCGTTCGACAAACCCTAAAACTAACACAAAAAGTTGACTCTTTTATTGATAAGTAATAGATAAAGGCTTGCTTTGTGGTTTTATTGAGAAATTGGGCTATCGAGCTTGGCCCGAATTCTCACCAGGCCGGCCTGAATCCTGCATTCTACCACCATTTTCAGCAACCATAAAACTGCCATTTAATCTGGTTTCACCATTACCATCTTTGCGAAAACCACCAGTACCCCTGTGTTCACCATAATCACTCCCTTGAAAGCCACCAAACGCGAAACTGCCGACACCTCCAAAACCAAAACCAAAACCAAAACCACCTCCTCTACCTCCACCTCTTGAACCTGAACCTGAACCTGAACATGAACCAAAACCAAAGCTAAAACCAGTGCCTGAAGTGCTGGATCCCGAGCCATAACCCCAACCTCCATGAGGTCCCGAACTTGAGCCCCACTGGAAACCCCAGCTTTGGTTTGGGCTGGAGCCTGATTGCCAAAGGAAGTCCGAGCTTGCGCCATCGCCATTGGGATTTGACATTTCAGTGGATCTAGGGTTTTTTTTGGTTGGATACAACGCTGCCTTATTGGCTTTGGTTTTGGAAGCTCTCACCAATTGCTGATTGTCTTTTTGCCTTTGAGGCGGGCTATCTTGTTTTTCTTTTTTTTGAAAATTACAAAATGGCCTCACGCGTACACTTTGCAACATACCCCTCACTTAACCTTTTCTCAAAAATACATTTTTCATGTAAATACCCCTCAATCAAATAAAATTTTTTTATGTCTAAGTGCGCTCCAGCATTGTGTAAGTGTGTTCTGACAGTGTAAAACTATAGAGTCACAACGCTCTGGCACTGTCTATATGCGTTCCGACAATGGATCATGTGCTCCGACAGTAGAATCTTGAGTTACAACGCTATGGCATTGTATATGTGCGCTCTCGTACTGTGTATATGCGCTCCGGCAATAGATGTGCCCTCTAGCACTGCGTAAGTGCGTTTCAGCAATGTAGCACTTTGGAGTCACAACGTTCTGGCACTGTCTATGTGCGCTCTAACAGTGGATCATGCACTCCAGTATATATGCGCTCCGACAGTGGATCATGCGCTCCAGTATATGTGCGCTCCGATAGTGGATCATGCACTCCAGCACTGTGTAAGTGCACTCCACAGTGGAATCTAGCATCACAACGCTTCAGCAGTAGATGATGCACTCTGATACTATGCAAGTGCACTCCGGCAGTGCAATACGGTAGAGTCATAGCACTCCAGCACTTTCTATGTGCTCTTCGATAGTGGATCATGCGCTTTAACACTGTATAAGTGCACACGGGCCACGTAATTTGGATTTATAGCGCTCAAACATTGTGTACTCTGGCACTAAGGTGATTCGTTTGGACAATGAGCTCTCAAAATCAACATCATATCTCATCAAATTGATTTTTTTGTACAAAAAAATCATTTCCGTCTAAAAAACTGAACTTTTTCGGGTATTTGCATAGAAAGGTAAACGGGGTAAGATGCACTGATGTGCGGTCTTGAGTTTTTTGTTTTTCAACGGCGTCCCTTTTTCAAAACCTTGTCTCTCCCCAAACCCATACCCAGAGCCACGTCTCTCTCTCTAAACCTAGAACCTCCTCTCTCTCTCTCCCCAAAGCAAAACCCCTGTTCTACAAACGCCTTCTCTCTCTCTCCACAAACTGTTATTCTAGAGAGAGAGATCTAACAATGGAGAAGTACTAGAAGTTGGAGAAAGTGGGAGAAGGGACATACGGGAAGGTGTACAAGGCACAAGACAAGGTAAAAGGCCAACTCGTTGCCCTAAAGAAAACAAGACTCGAGATGACGAGGAAGGGGTTCCACCCACTGCACTGAGAGAAGTCTCTCTCTTGCAAATGCTCTCTCAGAGCATCAATGTTGTAAGGTTAGTTCACCCCATTTATTTTTTTTGCTATGAATATTCTTTCTTGGTTCTTTGAAAGTTCATAATCTTTCACCCCATATGGCTAAATTTTGTTGAAATTCATTAACAATGATTACTATTTTACTGTAACATTTTGTTGGTTTAAGTCCTTGATCGATATGTTTTCTGTATTTTTTTAAAACCGTGCTCCTCTTTTTTTCTCCTCTCCATTTTGCGATTAAGGAAAAGAAATGTTAGATCTTGAGAGATGGGCTTGTGGGCTTTAATTCTTTGGGGCTTTTGTAGTAATCAGTGTTTTCTCTTTGATATCTTTCTTAAATTTCATGATTTTTTTCTCCATTTATCTTGGGAAATTTTCCTGCATTTCTTTATTTTGCGTTAGTGTTAACATTTTAGTTCCTTTGTTGTATGGGATATCATGTTTTGAGGGTTTAGTATTGGAATTTCAATTATTTCTATTTTCCATGTACATCGATTGCGGAAAACAAATTATATGAAGATATATTTGAGTCTGTGGATCTTAATTTATTCTTGTTCGAGGTGAAGATTTTACTGAGAAAGTTTCCAAACCAATTTCGGGGAAGACTTTCGATTTTTGTTTTTTTAATTTTAAAATTAAATAGTATAAAATTATATTGATATATTAAAAAATTTAAAAAATGAAAAATTCCAAAACAAAGAAAAAATGTATTATTTTTGCTGACAGAGGCATGACACTGAAAAATAAATTTTTTACTACTTATATGATTGAACCATCAACATTGACAAACCATAAGGGTTTCTAGATATTTGAAAAATAAGAATTTATTAATAATTTGAGCCCCCACAAAAGCACATACAAATAGAAACTGCACAATACCATTTTTGTTTTTCACCATTTGCACTGCATTATTTCCTATATGTCTTTTACATAATTAACTATTTTAAGTAATTATTTCAGAAAAAGAAAATAGTTGTCCGAGTCAGGAGACCTATCAAACAAACAGAGAAAAAAAAAAGACTTTCGCCCTTATTCAATATCATCATGGCCTAGATCCTGAATCTCTTTAAGATGGACTTGAGAGAGGTGATTCACATGCACATGCAAGTACCGGAACTCATTGAAACTGTCCTTCAGAAAATGTACAGAGCCTACTAAAAATAATAATAAAAAAACCCATATTAGGGCATTACTACTTTGAGAGAGAGAGAGAGATTATTTGCCATGGACAGATGGATTGGCATCACCTATCTCCTTGAGGTGAAGTAGGAACGAAGTAGTCTTTACCCCTTTGGATTAGTTTTTGGGGAATGATTTCATGCTACGGTTGTATAGTAGTATAATGCATTCATCTTAAAAAACCATGTTAGAGACATTTGTTTGACATGAATTTTTAAATGTACACTCTTTCATTTTGAAGAACAATCACAAAAATGAAAATTTTGAAAAAATGCTATAGAAAGTTTTCATTCTAGCCTAATTAATATAAGCCGTCCATTTTATTGAGATGGTTAGATATAGGTCTCAGAAAGATTTTTTTATTCCCAAAATTTTTATATAGCGTTATCATCATTAGATTAATAATGCTAGAAAAAGAAAAAGTGATTTTGAATTTGTTAAGGCCTAGATCTTGAAATTCACCAAATGTATGATCGAGATTCATTGTTGGATGGATATTAATTTTGACCATATCTAGGGTGCAAATTGAAATTTTTTTTTATAGGATTGATTATGAGGATGAAGAGAATGTGTGTACAAAATTTGGGGTCATAAAAATACCAAAAATATGGTTTTCTAGAGGTGTAGTTGCATTATACTGCTGTACAACTGTTGCATTAGATCATTTCCCTTAGTTTTTTGTACTAAGTAGGAAAAAAGAAGAGGAAGCAGAATGGGAGGGAAGAGGAAGGAGGAAGAGGAAGGGAGATGAGGTGAAACTATGAAATTTAAAAGTAATTGTAAAACTCTATTTCAGTATATCCCATTTCTTCAAAATGGCTATAATTTTTTGAAACTTTGAAAAATATCTATAGTGTTATTGGCTAATGCCATTGGAAAGATTACAAAAGTTGCCCTTGACTACTTCGGCTGGATTTGCTAATCTCACTAAAGCAATCGAGCACATTGAATCGGACTCAATAGTTTGTACAGTGCTTCACTTTGCTTCGGTCTAGGCGAAAGCCTTTGACCGCTTTGGCTGAAGCAAAGTGAAGATGACAACAACTCCATAGTTATGTTATTCATGTGTTGTAATATTTTAATGTTACTCCAAGAGAATTGGGATTTTCTTTTTTCTATTTACTTGTTCTCTTGGGCTCGTCTAAGAAGTTTGGTGATTTATTATTTTTGAATGTAATAGTGACTTTTTTGAAAGATGTTTTATCCTTTTTTTTTCTTTGGGCTCCATAAGTTAACCTCTCCCTTATCTAATTGAGGTTCTTGTTTCTTTTTTGATACTTGGTCCCTATGGTTAGGCTTTTATTTATCATTGTGTTCAAGCAAAAGCAAAAAAGAAAAAAGTCAAAAGGACCTATCTGTTCTTTACTTCTTCAGAGTTTATCTAATGGAATCTGGAACCAAAATCCATTAGAGTAAAGCTCATTATCTATTGAAACTATGGTTTTGGCCATATTCAAAGAATTAATTGTGTTATGGATAACAAACATGAGGCTGACTCCAATTAGTTGGGGAAATGCTCTGATGATGATGATGGATAACAAACATGAGGCAACCAATGTGCAGTTTTTCCTCGTAGTTTGAGCGTCGAAAGGGGTTTGGGAGATCAGTTTTATGATACCAAAACTGATCTACTCTGGTTTAACGAAACATTTCAATAATAATGCATACAAGAGGAACAATGTAACACGGACACGTGGGTCCATGGTATTTTTCATGTATTTATTCAGATGCTTTGTAACTTGCAGATTGTTGAGTGTTGAGCACATTGAAAAAAATGGTAAGCCACTTCTTTACCTGGTGTTTGAGTATTTAGACACAGATCTGAAGAAGTTCATAGACACATATCAGCGTGGGCCCAAGCCAAGGCCTCTTGAGCCTAGCACAATTCAGGTATCATTTCATAGTTTCCTGGTATTTTTCTTCAGTCCAATACTCATTATTTGCAACCTTATTGTAATTGAGATCAGTGAGTGATATTCCCATTATAATTTTCATGTCCTTGTATGAAACCCTCCTCAGGTATAAGCCACCCCTACTTAATATAGCAACCTTTTCTTTCTGTGATGTGAATTATTCCTCCTGGCTGCGTTTTTGGTTCAGTAAACTCTCACTTCTTTAAGCTCCCATTGTTTTTAACTTTCGAGATTCCAGTATAAGCCTCACTCTAGTATAAGCCAGCCATTATGAGGATGATCATTTTCAATTTTTTTTCTTAGTTCAATTAGATTTCCTTTATTTTTTTGGGGCTCTGACAATCGTTCTAATATGATTTTTTTGTTCTCTATACAGCCAATCTTGAAAACTTCATTTCTATGGTGTCTTTGTGAATTTGTGTTGTTCTTTTATTTCATAAGTTAAATCGTGTTTCTTGAATTTGGCCTTTCCTGGGGAAGTTTTGGCTTTGAGCGCTCTACTTTTTACTTCTAAAGCCCTAGAGGGAGTTTGATTTTTGGGCTGAATTTGAAGCTCTTTCCTATGCATTGATCTCTTATGCTATGTTGATTCCAAAACTTGTTTGGCTTGGGATAAACGAAATCCCGTTTGTGTGTAATCTCTTGCTTCTCCCTCTGTGTCTCCTTTTTTGTGGGGTATTGTGATTTTCTCAGTTTTGATCCTTGTAATGTATACTAGTCATTTTATAACAAGAAATAACAAAACCACTAAGAATAGGGAGTTTGATAAGGAACTTCAAAGAAATCACTTTTTAACACTTGGCTAGGCCAAATAATAGATTTGCAAACACCTTAGCTACTCTGTTTTCAATAATCAATATCCCGCCAGAAATGAGTGTCAAACCCTTCTACATAAGGCACAAACACGACCCCTCTCTCCCATAATACAAAAATAGAAAAAAGAGAAGAAGTATGAGGGGTCTTCTCCATAAATGCACAAGTTCAAGCACAAGCAGACGGTGGTAAGAAAGCCCTAAGAAGATTCTCAGTAAATTTTGTTATCATAGGCAACCAAGTCTACAGGTTTGGACATTTGTAAGTAATCTAGGTGGTGAAAAAAAAGGAAAGGTAGAAAATTTTAATCAATATATACTTACTCGGGTTGCATAGTCCAACTTTCATTGGTATCAGAGCTAGATTTAATTACTTGCTTATTTATTTCATTTCTCTAGTTTTGGTGTGTTGAGTGTTAGAAATTTTGAAAGACTTTGGCTTTGTGGTCGTATGGCAAACCTCAAGAAAGATTATTGGCATGCTTCCTACACCAAAAAGGCACTCCCCAGAATGGGGTATTTGCATTGTTTTGGAGCACTAATATGAACAAGAGAATGAGGTATTTCTCTTATGCATATTGCTATGATATTTTGTGTTTTTGAGAGTCGGATCTTCTTACAAAATTTCAATGGGAAATCCTGAGGGAATTGAGATATATTGACTTATCGAGGGATACCTGTTCTGACACTAAAAAATTCAGGAGCTCGTGAATGATTTCACTAGCAAATAATTTTATTTTTTGTTAATATTTGGCTGTAATTTATCAAATTGAGTCTACTTTAAAAAGAAAAAAAAAAAAAATTATGGAGAAAACCATTGTGATTTGAAATATATGATCCTTTTATTAAAAGATGCGTGAGTGCTGTTTTTTGCAACGAAAACTATTTAAGTTACATAAATGTCATGATTTTATTTCTATTCTTAACAGAAAGTTTTGAGGCCCACACTAAGTTTGTAAGTTGTCGTTTTGAGTCTAGTTTTTAACAAAAATTATTTGAGAGAGAAATATCTATGGGAAATAAATAATAAAACTTTTATTGTAGACAGATCATCTTGAATTTTTGCAGTCGTGGGAGGCAAGGCACGACAGGGGTAAG